ACAAGAACAGAGCAAGGATTCTGATGATGAAATTTTCAATCTGAGGTGCAAAGATGGTAGACAACCAATTGCGGACGAGCTTGCTCAATGGCTTCGAGCAGATGATGCCCCAGATAAGGAGGTTGATCTTGATCCCAAGAAGGCTCTGATATGGTGGAATGTAAGTTCGGTTCCTTATTGATTTAATCCTGGTCTAATGTGCTTATCTGATTATCCTCATGATAAGATGAATAAGTCTAGATATCCGGTACTCACAAGTTTGGCACGCAATTATCTTGCTACAAGTGCTACTTCCTGCCCTGTTGAACGAAGTTTTTCAACTGCAGCTGACGTCTGTGACCGCAATCAAGGTGGGCTTCTGCCCAGAACCATTGAGCGCTCAGTGAGTACCTGTCTTTGGACAGCTCAAATGGTCAGATTAACTGAAGAGTTTGAGCTTGCTGGAGAAACAATGTCTCTGTGTTTAGCGGAGGAGGAAGCTGCAAGAAATCATAAGTAAATTATGTGGTGGTTCTGTGTTTAAATTGTGTAATCATAAGTTGTAAACTACAAACTACTAGACAAAGAATTCAACTAAATGAGTAAAGAAACCAATGATACACTATAAATAGTCAAGTATACACCAATACATCATACACGTATGTTTGATCTTTTGAGCAATTTCTTGACAAAGCCAAAAATGAACCAGTGAATTGCACCAGCAGTGACTTGGTTGGTTCTTTGAATAATTTGAATCATTCACGGTAAAAGACAACCATCCAATAAACTACTGTCTAGTCAATGCAATGATACAACAATTAATGAAAAAATGAAAAAATGATTGACAAAATAAGGTAGTATATACAGTATAGCAAAGTATCTAAAGTATAGTCAAGTATCTGGAGTATAGTGAAGTATAGTGAAGTATAGTGAAGTATAGTGTACTGGGTATAGTATATTCCAACTATACTATACTTGAACTATACTTGGTATAGTATAGTTGAAATATACTATACCCAGTATAGTCAAGTATAGTATAGTATAGTATAGTTGCACCCTTGATGGTACCAATCCATGGTGCAAAGTTTTTCATTGAACGTTGCAGAAGATTGTTTGTCAGGTTGCTTTAAAGCTGAAAGTTGTTTTGGAAGATTTTTTCTTGGAAGTGTAGGCTGAAAAAGGCTTCTTTTCTTCATCTTCTGTAAATATTTAGTGTCCTGTATCACTTTTGCTTTCTTGTTTCTAGTGTTGAATGCTTGAAACACAAATTTTTCAAGCTTTGAGGGTATAAAGTTCTCGACAAAGATGCTGTTCTTGAGATTCCAATGAATCTTGAGTAGACTAAATGCTAGAAAACGCGTATAGTATAAAAAGGACACCTGGAGGAACAGGTTCTGCGTAAGACTATAGCTTGACCGCTAGTGTACGACGAGAACAAGAAACACTAACCTGCAAGCTCAAAGTAAATCGTGAAGAGCACGCGTAGAGATGATTAGAACAGATTATAAATGAACAGTTTGATTCTTTTCAACACACTACTAACCTGGAGGAACAGGTTCCGCGTAAGACTATAGCTTGACCGCTAGTCTACGACGAGAACAAGAAACACTAACCTAACAACACAAACACAACAATAAATAAAAGAGAAAAGTGTGATCAGAGAAAAGAGTTAAAATGAACAAAGTGAATCAGAAGAAAGATCACTACCTGCGAGCTCAAAGTAAATCGTGAAGAGCACGCGTAGAGATGATTAGAACAGATTATAAATGAACAGTTCTAAGTTAAAAGTAATGTATCAGTGATCATAAAGTGAAACAAATTGATGATTATTGAAAAACTCACTGATTCTTTTCGACACGAAAAGAAGCAGAAAAGAGAGGAAACAAAAACACAAAAAGAAAATAGATGACCCAAATGATTCCTCCATTTACCCCTGGGTTCAGTTTACCTACATACCCCTTTGTTCAACCAATCAATTTTACACTAACGCACAACACAACATTCCTTCTAGCCTAACCAAATACAACCTCCACTCTAACCTCCTCAATTTCCACATAAGGGAAAATGATCTTTGACTCACATACCAAGATAACATCTAATATCGTAACACACCCCCTCAAAAAGCATTATCCCACAAATCGCAAACCCAGAGCCTTTCGAAGATTTGAAAATTGTTCTTTTGGGAGTTGTTTGGTTAAGAGATCAGCTACCATCAGGTGCGTTGGGCAGTGTTTCATAGAAAGATCACCCTTTTTGACTACTTCTCTAATCCAATGATAATGTATCTCTATGTGTTTCGTTCTTGCGTGAAAGATAGACTTTGATGTTAGATGTATCGCCCCCAGATTATCACTTTGAAGTACCGTGGGGTTAGGATCATTGAAACCAAACCTTGACATCATGTTTCTTAACCATATCAACTCTTGACCCGCTTCAGTAATTGCGCGGTACTCAGCTTCAGTCGATGATAAGGCTACACTTGGTTGGAGACGGCTTCTCCAAGAAATAGGACCTCCTGCCAACACAAACACGTAACCCGTTGTCGAACAACGAGTATTGACGTCGCCAGCCCAGTCTGCGTCACAGTGGGATACCGGGCATTCAAAGCTTCGCTGTCCAGATACAACCTTTGGGGAATTACCACGAATAACAATTCCAATATTGATAGTGTGATTTAAGTATCTGAGAACATGA